ATAATATAGTAGATCCTCTGTGAGTTGACAACCCCAGGGGCAGGAACAAACTGGTCAGCACACAGAGGTGGCCAAAATAAGGAACTAGGTCCACTCTACTGATAGTACATGTGGTGCATGTCCAGTCTCTGAAAATTAGGTCAATTTAAGGAGGTGGACAGTATAGGGAGATGGTCAACTACAGAGGTGCTACTGTGTCTACTGAGAACTCTGTTCCAGGCCCATGTTGTGGACTTGACCTATCTCCTCGATCTCTGACCTGTGAGATGGGTGCTCTTATTGTCTCTGGTTTCTAATGGGGGCCTGTTCTCAGAGGGTTAGAGTTGCTAGCACTAGGTAACAAAGCTATAAGGGGTATGGGCTTTGCATTAGTTTCCTAGAGCTGCTGTAATCAATCACCACAAACTTGGTGGCTTAAAAGAACATAAATGTATTCTCTTGCAGTTCTGGAGGCCACAAGTCCAAGATCAAGATGTCTGGCAGGGCCACTTTCACTCCCTCAAGAGGCTCCAGGTGACAACCCTTCCTTGCCTCTTCCAGCTTCTGGTGGCTCCAGAGAGTCTCCGGTTGGTAGCTGCACAACCTTTGCTCCCTTGGCCTGCCCTTCTCTCTCTGCTCCTCTGTCTCACATTCCCCACTGGCATTTCTTTTATCATCGCCATGGTCCTTTTTATCTTTGTGTTTTTCCCCTTTCTTTTTCTTTTCTTTTCTTTTTTTCAAGCTTCATTTCTTTTATAAGGACACTGGTCATTATATTTAGAGCCCACTCAGATAATCCAGAATAATCTCATCTCAAGATTCTTAATTACATTTGCAAAGACCCTCTCTCCCCCTTTCCTGGGAAAGTAATATTTGCAGGCTTCAGGGATTTGATGTAGACTTTTTTTGGGGGTGGGGGTTAGGCATCATTCAACCCACTATAGACTTTGATTCTAGTGGTCTGATTCCAGGATCTGTTCTCTGCTACATCATAGCCTGTAATGTGCCACAGAGAAAGTCCATTTTCTCTTTCACATGGTAAGAAAAGACTGGCTTTCTTGCTTGGTGTTGGGTAACTCCATTGCCTTGCATGGAGAAAGTACCCAATAAAACAGAATGGCTTGATCAAAGAACAGCCTATCCAACACATGAAAGCAGTCTCCCTGTCACCCGTTACTGTTTACAGACTAAATATCCCCAGTTTGCTTATGTGAAGTTCAGAACCTCCCCCCAGCCTAGTTGGCCTGCTGTAGGTATTTTCCAATTTGGCCAGTATTTCTCCTAAATACGATTTCCAGATTGAACTCCAAATAAGATCTAGAAACAGATGTAGGAGAAGCAAAATTTTACCTTTACCTTTCTAAAGTTTTTTACTTGGCTTGAGAATTAAATTGACATGAGACAGATCATAGGAGGAAAGTATACAAATTTATTTAATAGAAGTGTTTGTGACATGGGAACCCTTATAATGGAATGAAGACCCAAAGATGCAGTTAGAGTTGAACACTATATATTGAACTGGCTAAAGAGAAGTAAATTGTGGAAATGTGATAAGACAAAGTGCTGGGGGTGTTAACCAGGGGGTTAAGGGTTAGTTTAAAAAGGTTGGTTTGTACAGAATTCTCTTGGTCTCAATTTCCTGTCTTTAATGATAAAAATGTTGCTTTGCTTCTGATATAGGGAAGACATCTTCCCTGTAGCACTTTTAGTTCTTACATTCAGGAAGAAAAACAGGATGGTCAGAGACTCCTTTTGGCACCTCCTGGTTTTAAAAAAAAATTTATAAGTGCCTTTAGCTCCAAAATAATCCTTATGCCAACATGGGATAAGGTTTGGGGTGGTATGTTCTGCCACTTTTCACAGGGTGGAATGTTAATTCTCATGTTTGTACACTGTATTTTTTTAAAGTAACTGTTGATTGTGTTCATTTTAGAGCAGCTGCTCAAGCCATTGCTGGTACTTAATGGCTAAAGACATTCAAAGATAAACCTCTTCTGCATCAGTCATTGAGTCTTAAGGGTCAAATTCAACCCTCAGTTATGCTAATGCAATTTTTATTGATTTTGGATTCTGGGGATGGATTTTGAGTTTGGAAAGAAAATAATCCAAACATCACACTCTGGGGTTTAGTAGAAAGGGCAAGCATACTCATGAATATGTCTGGTTCTCCTCTCCATTCCAATTCATTGATCCCATGAAAAAAATAATCGTGTGCTGTAAAAGAGTTGAATGATGATCCAAAACAATTTTCTGCAAGAACAAATCAGGATTTTCATGCCCAAATAGAATAGAAGAGAGAGGCTTTTCTTCTTCATTTCCACCATTTGTGGCATGTGGTTGGTGCGGTCTTTTTTGTTTTTAATCACATTTACCAACTGCCTGTGTTAATTTCCATGCACTTTGTACCCTGAACAAATTTATGCTCTTGGTATTATATGTGCCACGAGTTGCAGTGCTGTCAAAACATATTTTTAAAAATAACCCATGGGTTTTAACCAGTACAGTCAAGCTAAATTAGATTTTTTTTTAAAGTAAAATCTACCTTAATATTTAGATCAGCAAGAAAATGTGATTATGATTAACTTTTGCCCTTATGTGGCAAGACAGGACAGTTACACTCATGCTTAAATTTTTTATTAATTCATTTTTTAAACTATAAATTAAAAATAAGGAAACAGTAATAATTCCTAGTGGTGGATTCCGTGGCCTCCTTTACTCCATTCTAGTTTTTACAAATGGTTTCTTTGAAGGGGAACATTCTAGGGAGAAAAGCCCTCTGCTTATTATTCTCCCTGCTCACCTCTTACGTGGCTGCTTCTACCTACACCTGAGGCTGGAGCTTAAATGTCTCTTCCATAGAGAAACCTCTTTTGCCCCATAAGACTAGGTTCTAATATTATAAGCACCTTTGTATCTTTCACTTCTTTTGTTTGCAGCCTCATTACATTAATTTCAATTGCTTATTTAATATTTATCCTAGACTGTAGACCCTACGAGGGCAGGCGATGTGTCCGTTTTCAACATTCTAGTACTAGTACCTCATTCTGTGTCTGGCCCACACTCGATGCTTACCAAACATTTCTTGACTAATTGGCCAGAGGATGAAAAAGTCCCTTAAGGGTATGTGGGAACAGTAATTTCAGCAATATTTGCGTTTGTGTGGACACCAAGCTAAGAGCTATAAGCTCTTCTGTGAGTGTATTTGAGTACCGCTGCATCAGATTACTGAAGTAGAAAGAATAGTTGACATTCTGTTTTAAAGTGACCATGTATTTGACCCACTTCTTCTCTAGTAATGTCATCACGATTGTATCTCATCGCCGTAGGTTCTCAGAGGCTGACAGGCGGAACAAGTTGCTTCAGCACACAGTCCTCATCTGTCATAGAGAACAGCTTGCAGATTCTTATTATGTGAATGAAATATGGAGAGAGGGATATTTTTCTTCCTAGGCTATCAGGGTAATTGAAAGTAACCATATCAGGGCATGAGGGGAAAAATGCAGGAAAATAGACTGCCTGTGTGAAGGGCAACTCATCAGCTTTCAGAACCACAGGTGTGGAGCTGCCGCCTCTCCAAATGCAAAGGCTTGGGAAATGTTTCCTGTTATCAAAAGGCCTGGAAATTCTACCAGCACATTCTCTTAATAAGGAAAATGCCTAGTTCATGTTACCGCCCCTCTGCTGTCTGATGAGATGTCACAACTGTCATCTTTGGAGGCACATCCCATGGGACAAAGGTACAGGGTTCTGTGTGTTCTTTAGCCAGGAAGAAAACTGTTTTAGTATTCCAGATCAATAAACTGTAGTAGTAAATTGGAAATGTGATATGAAAAATCATCAAACAGAGAAATTCTACTGTTCCTGAGTTTTGAACCAGAAGATATAAATAACATTTGACGGCTCTTACAGTTAATATTTTACAAGCTTGGCCCTGGTGAAATGGAATATCAGATAATACTGTATCAATGACACTTTGCCTTCTAAATGGTTTGGTTCTGTAGATAGAAATTGTGCTTTATAGAATTGTTTTAGTTAACAGGAAGCTTTTTACTTAACACTGGTGAAAAGTACTAATGTGGGGATGGAAGACAAGGAACAATTCAGCAGTCATTCCAGTCATGACTTTGTTATGTTTTGAGATAGCTTTAAAATCACTTAGTCGAATAAAATTCTAAAGTACTCTAACTGCCAGGTTGCTTTATCTAATTTATGAAACAGAGGCAAAGGAATCAACAATAACCCTCCATTTACTATTATTAAATTAGCTATTACTGAAACCACAGAAAGTATATAACCCTTTACTTTGTGTTCACTTGAATTTGGTTATTAAGCTTTGATGGAACTTTCATTTAACCAAATGCCTTTGTTTACAACAATAAGCATGTTAAGTCTTCTGTGTTCTGAATCTGATATGACCGTTTTAGTACATGCCTCCCACAGAGGCATGGTAAAGTTACAGATTCTATTCATTTGTGTTCTGTCAAATGTTTTTGATTTAATACGGTTAGGGTCTTGCTTTTCTTTCCAACTTTCAAAATCCTTTTTTACTTTCCTTTTATTTCTATAAGGCTTCTACTTCTTCATGAATATAACCAGTCATTAACAAACATGAAACTACTCACAGCAACTCCATAAAAATTGATTTTTCAAAATTAAATAAGCATCTGGTGGCCTAAAAACGCTTTATACCTGATATTTAAAAGATATTTTGACTATTGCCAAAAGGAATCAATTCCTTCATGCTGTTTCCCTTGTGGATGTCATCATATGCCACTGAGTTGCAGGAAGCAGACTCTGGAGGGAGGCAGACTTGGCTTTGCACCTCAACTCAGCCGCTTACGTGCCTGTGACCTTGGACTTTATATCTTAGGGGGGTCAGTTAATTGCAATTGCTCTTTTCTTTGTGTATAATAGAATTAGAAAATAGTACTTATTTCATTGTGTTATATATGACAGAATGCATGTGAGGCCCTCAAACGTGTGACTATTATTACAACTAATGTGTGTGTGTGTGTGTGTGTGTCCATCCACATTCTATAGGTACATGTCTACCTGAGTGAAAGCTCATTGACTCTATATTACTGTATAATGGTGGAAATGCCATCATCTTTTCAGTGCTTAATGTTCTGACGTCACGGCCATATCTAAAAGTAACATGAAGCATCGTCACCATTTTGGATTTGGTCACAGCCATAGCTTGAACATGAATCACCATGAAGGTGGCTATTTTAGTTGCTGAGACTGAGACCCATGAACCAAATCCCTACTCCTAAGAAGTATTGCTTTTAAAATGGAACTTTATTTTGGTTCTTTTGAATTGATATAAAAGCTAGAATAAGGAGGGTTCCAGATATGTAAACTAGAAATATATGGCCCTTCCATACAAGAAGGGACCTGGCTTTGATTCCCAGATCTACTAAGCTTTTATATCTGCCTTGTTGTCGTTACAGTTTTCAAATGCATATCTTTGTCTTTTGTGTGCACATTTTTGGGGTCATGTAGCTGGGATTGGAGAAACCCACACTATTTCGCCCAGTGCCCTTCAGACCACTCACCCACAGAGGAGCCGTAGGAAGTCAGGCTGGGAGACCTGCCCTCTAACATTAGTTTCCAGCAAATTTACATGGTTCAGAGGGGTAGAATTTTTCTTCTTATCTGTACCATAATCTGTTGGCTTGAATTATGAGTCACAGAAGAATGAAGACTTCTTTAGCTGTGAAAGTTTCAGCAAGAATAAATGTTAGACCTATGGCATTAGTTTAATGCAAAATAAGATAGCATTTAAAGATAGTCTCTGCTCCAGCATCATATTGACAATGCCCCTCACTTGAGTCAGGGATTGGGGACTGACTGAGATGCACCATCTGGCAAAATACGGAAGGCCAGTCTTGTGCCAACTGAGAAAGCTGCATCAGTTCCAACTCTGTGTACTTTGCACGTTATTGGATGCCTTGCAAACGTTTATCACTTTTTAATTAGGAAGGGCTAAGGGATTTTAGTATCCCAAAGAACATGTCAGCAACCCAAAGATAGAAAAACTATCCAATGGATCATAAGAGGCGATAAGTATTTAACTTCGAGCTTGCACAGGAAATGAGGACAGTTTCATACTAGGATCTTTCTTGGATGATGTGAGGGTGGTATGTCCTTGATCTGTCTGGATGGAACAGGAGATCTGGTCTTTCTGTTATCGTGACAGTTCCTGAGCTTGTTTCTTCTGCAGCCTGGCCAGTCTCTGAAAGCATATGCCAAGAGATCAACTCTGCTCTGCTTCTTAGCCTATCATGTAAACCGTGGCCTGTCATGTTCGTTAAAATGAAAATTTGTCGAATGGAATTTGCCCGACTGGCAGAATAGTTTAAATGTCAGATGTTGTTAGGCCTGGATATAAATATTATGTTTCTATTGTTAATTAATTGCAGTGCCTCAGTACCAGTGATCCAAAATCCAATTTAGTCTGCAATAGGCCTGTGGATAAGGGCCAGAGATAATGAATGCAGAGGGAAAAATGTATTCAGAATTTCCATTGTATCTGTCAATGTCCTCTTAGGAAAACAGCAAATTTTGATGTGTCACTATAGTTCAAGAGGGGCGAAACAGTGCAGAATTAAGACTCATTGTCTTTTGAAACCTTCAAATGTTACTTACTATTGAATCTATTCCACTGCGAGCCCTGAGTCCATTCCAACATCAAAATTTCTGATACATACCGTCCTGCTCCCTTCCCTTGATTTCCTGCCATGCTTTGCACCCCTGATCTGTTGTTCTGTTCATGGCTCATTTCAGAGTTGTGGGACTGAGGTGTCTAGTCTTGCAATCCTCCTTCACAGCGTTCACTGTTCTCTTTTTGTTTGGCCATCAACCTTTCCATTCCTTTTCTTCCCATCCTTTGTTTTGGTCCCCAGGCTCAGCAGCCTGTCTGTCAAGTCTGCCACTGTTTGTTAAGATCATTTTGCTTCCAAATTGAGCTGGTAGCTGAATATCACTCGAGATAATGCTGCTAGAACTGTCTGCATTAGAAAAGGAAGCAGAACTCTTGCCGCTGGTGCCCAGACCTCAGAGCTGACTGTTGTTGCAAAGCCGTGAGCCAGCAGGCATTTGTGACCGCCATTCTCAACCAATATTTTGTGGAAAGCTTGCTGTGAGCATGGCATCTTACCTGGCCAGCTCCCTGGTGGTGGGGGTGCCAGGCAGAGGAGGACTAATTAAGACTTTGGAAGGCAGGACTAACGTGTTCCAGTGGTCAGGGAACCTCATTTAATTCCTGGCATCCTGGTTGGTGCCAACCTCGTTCTGCCCCTGCGATTATGCCAGCCGAGAAGCAGAGAAGGGAAGATGAACTTTGGTCTGCTCTGAGCTTCCCTGTCCAGCAGTGTTTGTCAGATTAAAAATGAGAGGGAACGAGGCCAGAGAATCTTCCAGATGGAGAGTTCAGAGGAGGGCACAACCAGACTCCCTCTCCACAGTGATGTTGCCGGGCCATCCGCGTGGTGGGCTGGGAGCCAGGAGCACAGGCTGCCGCCTGACCCTGCGGGGGAGTGAGGGCCTGGCAGAACGGTCACCCTTGGCTCAGGGTGGAGGCAGAGTCAAACCAGGCACACGCAGGCCACGTGGCCAAGGGAGAGCATTTCCTCCAGGGTTGGGTCAGTCGGGTCTGACGTTGGGCCCCTCCTTCTGGACTCCGCTTGAGGGCGCTTCCCCCAAGTCGCAAGGGAGTAGAGTTGGCAGCTGCAGAAACCAAATGGGGAGTTGATGTTTTCCAACCTCCCTGTTTTCCTCCTTTAGAATGAGGCAACCGTGCGGGAAAGGTGACCTTAGTCAGGCTGGAGGCAGCAGTAACAGCGGTGGCCCCGTGTCCTTGGACTGACTCGCGTGGACAGCAGTTCCAGGCAGCAGGGGGTTGGTGAGGCCACAGTGCACTGGCAGTGGCTCTCCGTGCCTCTTGGTAGCACGACTTAATAACTCGTCTCTGCGCTCATTGAACAGTATCCAGTGTGGATGCTCTAGGAATAGGGCTTTGCTCAAATGAGAACTTTTTAAAAGACTAAGGTCATCTGAGGCCTATGCAGGGATGGAAAGGTAACGAACGAGGGTAAACACTGATTATCTGCTTGGGTCTTCTTTAAAAATGGATTATTTTGGCCCGGCATGGTGGCTCATGCCTGTAATCCTCACAGTCTGGGAGGCTGAGGCGGGTGGATTGCTGGAGCTCAGGAGTTCAAGACCAGCCTGAGCAAGAGTGAGACTTTCTCTACTAAAAATAGAAAAACTAGCCAGGCATTTGGCGGTGCCTCCCAGCTACTTGGGAGGCTGAGGCAAGAGAATCTCTTGAGCCCAAGAGTTTGAAGCTGCTGTGAGCTGTGATACTACAGTATACTACCCAGGGGGACTGAGTGAAATCCTGCCTCAAAAAAAAAAAAAAAAAAAAAAAAAGTCAGGCTTTTAGAATTTGAGGGGGGTCTATGCGATTGGGAGCAGAGATGTTTGACTTCAAATGTCATCCCATTCTGTGAAACATACTGAGGCCCTGTTAGGGCATCCCTGTGCAAATGCCGCCTTGTCAGAGTCTCCCCTGGGATTAAACAAGCCATGGCACTTTCTGGTCCTGCCTGGGGGGTCAGACAATTCATGGGTTACCCACTGCCAGGACACCAACCCAACTGGGGTTGTCCTCCCTGAGATGTTACAAAATTTGATTTGTTTATAACCCTATGAATTTCAGAGGCCAATTTTTGGCTGATTGGTATTCTGCCCCTCAGATGTCACCTACTGATTTTCCAGAGCTTGTGTAACTTGACAAATTTACTTTTTCAATGTATGGCAAATATGATAGCATTGAACAGGTATGGTATGAGTGGGGTGTGTGTGTGTGTGTGTATGTGTGTGTGAGGTCCCAGAAGGATACCTTCAGTAGAGAGAGATCTTTTCATTTTATGAAAGCCTAGAGTACAAATTAAGAGAAGAAATGAAAAATAGAACAACCCCCCCAAACTAAACTTAGATTGAGAATTCCCAGTTTTCACTTTTAACAGTAATGAAAATGTATCATATTCTTTCATTAAGCAGATTTTACTGAGTGTATGTTATGTGCCAGATGTAGTCCTAGAGGACATTGACTTAGTATAGGATAAGACAGACGTGGTCCATATGACTGTTGAACTTATGGTCTAATAGAGAGACTTTCACATGCACTTTGTCTGTATGAATCAATTTTCCAGGTAAATAACAAAACTAAGAATTATTCTGGTCACCCCACCCTCCCACCCCTGAACTCTAAACATATCTGAGTTTCACAAATTTTGAAAATACTCTATATGAAATACAGACATACAAATTAAAATAAAACTTCCAGGAATATATCTAAGAAGTGGCAGGTTTTAACTCTCACTGTTGTGAGAATTTGAACCAGTATGCAGATTTTATTTTTCTTTTCTTTTGTTTCTCTCTCTCTCTCTCTCTTTTTGTTTAAAACAGAGTCTCACTCTGTTGCCCTGGGTAGAGTGCCCTGGTGTTATAACTCACAGCAACCTCAAATTCTTGGGCTCAAGAGATCCTCCTGCCTCAGCCTCCCAAGTAGCTAGGACTACAGGCACCTGCCAGAACACCCGGGTGGTCTCCAACTCCTGAGCTCTGGCACTCTACCCACCTTGGCCTCCCAGAGTGCTAGGATTACAGGTGTGAGCCACCCCACCTAGACCAGTATGCAGATTTTCATTTCATGTGTTTAAAATATTAATTTATCATCAGGTAGTTTCACCAGGGCTATGTTTTCTGACTGCCTGGTTTTCACCGATATGTAGAAAAAAGTTTCTAGAAAGAGGTTTGAAACTCTTAGTTGAAAATTGGCTATCATTTAGAAGAATGTTGCAATAATTTGTCTGCAGTAACAGCTCACTGAACGTAGCATAAAAATGAAAATGAGGGCTGAATTTATTCAGTGTCTTTATTCTTGTACCAAGATACAGACTCGTTTGTAGGCATGTAAATAATTGTTAAAGACTTAAAGGTTAATAACCAATCCCTTAACATGGCAGTTCAGTCTGGTGAGTGCTGCAGAATTCGATGATGAAGCAAATCCCCCAGTTCCAGGCAATGTGGCTTTTTAAGTAAGGTGCAGCTGGGAGGTTGTCAAATAGGTTCTAATTGGGAGAAGGTAAATCACAAATACAGAAACTTTCTGTATTTGGGAAAGATGTTTGTTTAAACTCAGACCAGTTTTTAAGGGAACTGGGGGCTGGATCCTGGACTGCTCTGCTCCCATGTTTATTTCTTTTAGGAGCCGCTGAAGTCCAAACCTATTTGGATTCATTTAAATCTAATTGATATGTCATAGGAGGTCATATGAAGGATACAGAGATTGTCTGTTAACTAGAAGAAAATGCGGATGAGGAGAATAAGAAGTAATGTAACATTATAGCTATTGGTGAAAATGTATTTATGGCCTGTAGAAGTTTAGGTCCTTGGATTTTTCAGGGTTAGGAAAACACAGGAAAGGGAAGGCAAATTTGAGGGCCTATTCTGGACTGATTTTTTCCCAGAGGTAAGTACTTTAGTGCAAGAGTTTTTAGGACTTCACTTCCCACTGCTTTGGATAATGAGCATATATAAACATATGAACACAAATTTTCAGGTGCCAGAAGTATACACACCCACTATGATGTCTGCTTGTATTCCCTTGTTGAACACGCGCCCTCCGTGGCAGGCCGTGTGTAGGTCTGTGGTCCCAGAGATCATCAGGCTGTACTACTACTGTACCCCTTCTATGTTTAGATGTGTTTAGATATGCAAGTTTTTACTCCTGTGTTTTGAATGCCTATAGCATTCGGTGCAGGTTTGTATCCTTGGAACAATGGTCCATACATTACAGGCTAGGTGTGCATGCTGTTCCTTCTAGGTTTGTGTAAGTCCACTCTGTGATGGTCACACAAAGATGAAATTGCTCAAGGACACATTTTCCAGAACACCCCCCAATGTCTCTGTGTTAATGACATATGACCGTATTTATTGACTATTGGGAGCTGGGATAGAATCTGGGGCTTACGACGCATGGGTAAGGTAGAGCTGGTGTGAACAATAAAGGCCATATGTTATAAAGAGCAGATATTCTAACTAAAATAAGAAAATGTAAGCAAGTGGGAATACAGTAGCATGAGTGGCTTCCTAAGACATATGATTAAGGTGAGAGCAAAGTTCTGTTTAAGACCAGCCCCACCACCCGGACCTTACCACTTTCTTGGGAACCTTTGTCCTAGGTATCCTTTCTCACTTTTCTATCTCAGCCTCTGTGTCTTTTTTTTTTTGGAGACAGAGCCTCAAGCTGTCCCCCTGGGTAGAGTGCCGTGGCATTACAGCTCACAGCAACCTCCGACTCCTGGGCTCAAGCGAGTCTCCTGCCTCCGCCTCCCAAGTAGCTGGGACCACAGGCGCCCGCCACAACGCCCCCCTATTTTTTTTTGGTTGCAGCCGTCATTGTTGTTGGCAGGTCCGGGCTGGGGATTTGAACCTGCCACCTTAGGTGTACGTGGCTGGCCGCCTTAGCCGGTTGAGCTATAGGCGCCGAGCCAGCCTCTGTGTCTTAAATGCATATTCGCATTGTCTTGACATCTGCTCAGGTATTTTTCTATTTAAAAACTACATGAATCTTCTTTCAGACATTTGCCTTCCTGTTGCCACTCTCTTTCCTCCTCTTCACGGCCAAACCTATTCAGGATTGTCCTTACTGAATGTCTTTGTAAAATGATTTCTGCTTCTGTCTTAACCAGCTCCAAACTGAATTCTGTCTCTATCAGTTCACAAAACAGTTCTTGTTGAGTTACTTGATTACATTCAAATTGCACATTCTTTTGTCAATTGAATTTTCTGTGAACCTTGAGGTATTTATGTTACTTCTCTGGCAACTATTTGCTCTCTGACATAGGCGTCATCCTTCTTGACGCAACTGTTAAATGTTGAGCTTCCCCTTAAGGATCGGCCTTAGGCCCTTTTTCTCTTTCTACTCTAGATGGTCCCATCTCCCTGAACAATCGCATCCATAGTCTGTCATGCCATGGCTCTCTACTCGCAGGTAACTGACCTCTCCCAGACCTCATCTTTGAGCGACAGATTCATATCTGCAACTGCAAACCAGAACATTTTCCTTTAGATGTCTCTGAGGTACCTCAGATTCAACATGTCCACAGCCAAACTACTGATCCTCTGTGTCTCCAGATGTGGACCCTAATGTTCATATCTGGAGACAAAATTCAGTCAATGATCTTATCTAATCCCAACCCAGATAGGGAAACTGTCATAAAGATTATATTGTCAAACATATTTTAAAAATCTTATTTCATAGTTGTTTTCCAACTTTAATGCGTTATAATTAAAAACCTTTTGTTTTTCTTTCTTTGGTTTTTTCTTTTTCTTGTTTTAAGACTTATGTCACCCAGGGTAGAGTGCTGTGGTGTCATCGTAGCTCACAGCAGTCTCAAACTCTTGGGCTCAAGCAATCCTTTTGCTGCAGGTGCCTGCCATGACACCCGGTGAGTTTTTCTATTTTTGGTAGAGATGGGGTCTCGCTCTGGCTCAGGCTGGTCTCAAACTCCTGAGTTCAAGCAATCCACTGCCTCAGCCTCCTAGAGTTACAGGTGTGAGCCACCAGGTCTGGCCATAAAAAAACTTTTCGTTTGATCTTTGCTCAGACTATCTTCATGGTCTAATATATGGTTAATTTTTGCTTATGTTCCATATGTGGTTGTAAAGACTGCTGTGGCAGATTGCGGTTTCTAAGGGTGGTCACACCAACACATTTATCCAGTCCTACATGCTCTTCTTACAATGTAACTAACCCTCCCCCCACTGAGTAGGGCAGGGTATTTGTTTTTTTCTTTGAGTCAGGGTGGGGTTTATGACTGCTTGATCAGTAGAGGACAGTATAAATGGTGTTATGTGAATTCTGAGCCTCGGACATTAAAAAAATACAACTACTCCCTGGCTCTCTATGGAAACTCTTGCTTTTGGAACCTAGCCCCATGTTAAGAGGCGGTACAAGCCACATGAAGAAGCCACATGTAGGTATTCCAGCTGATAGCCGAGCTATGCTCTTAGCTGACCCTCCTCAACCTAGCAGATATGTGATGAGCCTTCAGCAGAAGGGATTCCAGCCCCTGAACTTTAAGCCTTTCAGCTGAGGCCTTAGGCCTTATAGCATAGAAAAGCCATACTGATGTACCCTGTCAGAATTCCTGACCCATAGAATCTGTGAGGGATAATAAATTATTTTTAACTAACTAATTTTGGGGTAATATGTAGCAATAGATAACTAATACATGTACTTGCTCCCCCATTATTGCCAAGTATAATTTCTCCTAATAGTAAGCTTATTTTCATTAGCTTTCTCTTGGTTCCCGTTTCCTTGATATATACTTTGCTTTGCTTTTCAAACCTTCTCCTAGGTCACACTGCTGTGTAGTTTGATTTTCATCTCTGTATTTTATAAGCCATTCACATTCTGTTGGGGGGTTCACACCCCAAAAGATGGGAGTGTAGATTTGGCCAGGTGCATGTGATTCAATTCTGGGTGGATGTGTGTGCCATTTTCAGTTTATGACTGTCTCTTTTTTTGGCCTCTTGTGCAGGAGGTATGAGGTGCAAGTTTTATCAATGGTTTATTTGGCTAGCACCATATACCACGGCATATGGAAATTCTATTTAGAGACATGGAGAGAAAACGTTTGGCGTTTTACTCCCAGACAACTCTGTCTTTCGTTTTTATCTCTTTGTAGCTTTGAAGCTCAGCAAAGAAGGGAAGTCCATTGAGAACAGTCTGTAAAGGTAAGTGTATTTATTACATGGTCTTGACAAACATTGCCTTTGCACCATTGATTTTTCTTTTATTCAGAGATTTAAACACTTGGATTAAAGATACAGCTGACAGGACAACTTCCTTAACCACCTGCTTATCCTTCCTTATAGGCAAAAGTGCTGAGCAATAGTTAGCAGACAGTGGGAGGAAATAAAATGAGGTGTTGAGAGTAGCTAACTGCAATTGTGTGCTTGCTGATTTTTGCTTTCTTCTCAGCAGTTAAGATATTCCAATGGAGCCAAGTTTACTAAGATTAATGCTAGATGGAAAAAGAAGGAACTTGCACCACTTCTAGTCAATAGTTAAATAAAACTAGCTGGCCACATAAAGCATTTAAAATAAAATGCAGAGTGGCGTTTCAATTGGGCTGGATGAAATTTATCACGAAAGTCAGTTGTGCCGTTGCATGGACAGAGCTAGTTTTGTAGAAAGGAAAAAGCCAGCCAGTTTGGTGCAGCTAATTTCATTCCAACCAGTCACTCTGGACCCTAAGTGAATTACAGGAAAGGAACTTCCAGTGCCCAAAGCAATGGGAAAAGTATCTACTCTGCCTTGTGTGAAACATTACAATCCGGTTGGTTTTTACATGGAAAAATGTAATCATTTCCTTTTTGCTAGGTATATTTATAAGCATACCTCTGTACAGCATTGTTCTTTGATTCATTGTTTAATTTCTGTTCTGCATGACATATTTTAATTTAAAGGATTCATTCTGGGCAATTATAGGGCTGCAGTTTCATCAAGACTCTTTGGTGGCCGGGGTGAAATATGCCATAATTTTACATTTGTTTTCATCATAAATTATGTTTTTGACACTTTTAGGTTTTTTTCTGTCATTTTTATTATAGCAATCGTGACCATGACCACTTTAGTTCAAGTTGAAAAGCCATTTTGATTTACCTTATACTTTAAGTTATTCCTAACTTTATGACAGATCTACCTCTGGAGTTGAGCTTTTAATGTTCATGTTGAGGGGGGAGAAGAATTTTACAGAGAAATTGGAGAAAACCCCTTTGGAATAATCCAAACATGAGCTACCAAAACTCTGTTCTGAGGCTTTGCCCCACAAAGGGCCATTAAACTCTAGGGCATGAAAATGTGGTTGGCCTGGGATTTTGCTATAATAATTGTCCATTAGTGGAGAAAATACTGTCAAAAGAAGTAGAAAATTCTTAGTTTTAGCCATATAACTTACATATCTCTGGACCATTGAGCCACATCTTAAAATAAAGCGGGACTTGATAGCTTTTAGAAATAAATGCTTGTGAATTATTAGAGTTAGTTATGATGTAGTCATCTTAAAACCCTTGTAATCTTTAGGCATAGCTATGGTGCTTGTGTTTCTTTTGGGGGAGTGTTTTCACATAGGCACAGACCATTTTCTCTGCTCTCAATAAAAATCTTTTATTGAATTAGTGCTCTGGGGTTAGATGTAGGTTTAGTCATGGTTTCACTTTTACTAGGTGTGGGATTTACTCTCTCTGTGTCTCAGTTTCCTAATCTGTAAAACAGGGATAATAATATATGGAATATTTTCTGCTTCATATGGTTGTTGTGGAGATTAAATGAATTATGTATGTCAAGGGCTTAGAAGAGCTCCTGGTTCATAGTAAGTGCTCAGTAGATGTGGGCTGTTACTGCTTTTGTTAAAATTACCAGCAGCAGCACCAGCATCCTTATGAGTTTATTCATTAAATATTTTGAGATATCTATTAGCTTCAGGATAATGTTTCCAAAAAGAGTGTGTTGTTACCAGAGAAGGGCAAATTCCACTTTGTCCTTAGGAATCAAATGAAACTATAACTTTCATGTAATATGAGAACATGGCCTCTGTAAGTGAAAAGTTATCAGGTCAAAGTTGTGTAGGCATCAGGGAAACACCTTCTTGGGCTGTGTGTGGGCCACCACTAACTCGTATAATCTTCACAAATTAGCCATCTATCGCTAAGTAAATTCTTCAGGAATTTTTGAAGAAAATCTTGGTAAGTAGAGAGGGACGCACATGCCCCTCCTTTGTTTTTTCCTGTCCTGTATCTGTTTTCCTTTCCTCAGAGCACCTCTATTTCTTTTTGAAGCCGTATAGTGGAACAGTAACCAGGGGTTCTACCCAAGGGCCTATGCCCAGCTTATGGCTGGGTGTATGGCCACAAGCTGGGTTAAGTGGATGCTCCTCTAGAATTTGAATCTTTAAGAGGTTCTTTTTTGCCCAGACGTTCTGATCTGACAGTATCTGTTAGGAGACCACTGTAGCAGGTCTTGTTTTCTAGCCTGCTTGTCAGTCTTGGCTCCTAATAGTCTCCCAGCCTTACTCCCAGTCTGCCATGGGTTCTCTGAGCTTTCCATTTCCTTCCATTAATTCTTCTTAAATGAGCCAATTGGTTTCTGTTGCTTGCAACCACAGAACCCTAATTGATAGAGTAGTTTATACATTAGCAAGCTAGATTTAGAGTAAATTGGGAATGTTTGGAGGTTTGTAATTAAAATACTATTCATTACTCTCTTCTGTTCCATATAAGTAGCTGAATGTTTTGTGGTAGAGTACATAAAGTACAGAGTTCTCAATTAGACTCTCAAAGATGTGGTAGTTTGCTGAACTTTTCAGGGCTCCAGTGTTTGGTACAGAGAAGTCACTCTTGGCTGCTGCTGTACACTCTCCCACGATGCAAGTGAATGCAGAGATGGGGCTGGAAATGAGGAGAGGAGCAGAGAGGCCATTCATCCCATCAATTCCTGGGGGCCTGGTTTCTCTGTGGGACGAGGATTGTGAAGGGACTGTAATTTCCTTTGGTTTACCCCAGCATCCCAGAACAAAATAGGAATACTCTTTAAATATTTCTCTACTTTTCCCTGAATTTTTATTTCTCTTTTGATCACTTTTCCTGCCCTGCTGAACACTTTCTTTTCAATGATGTGTGAAATGTGATTGAAAACTCAATTACTTCTGTTTCCAGCATTGCTTGTGGTTTCCTGAGAATGGAATGGGCAAATTTTCTCTATTTACCCTTGCGTCTTGTTTGTTGACTACTTCTGTGTTCTATGCAGTGCCTAGAACAAAGTTTGTTAATGACTTTTTTTAACAGGGACATAAATTTTGTACTCTTACTGTGAATAAATAGCATGACAGCATTAGATGGTAGGAAAAACTTGAGCTGGAGTGTTAGGAAACTTGCCTCTAGTTATGGCTATGCTGCTTGCTAGTTTTGTGACTCTGGGCAAGATTCCTAACTTTCCTGAAGGTCTCAGGTTCCTCACTCGTAAGATCAGGATAATCGTCATCCTATGTATTGCATAGGGCTGTTACGGGGATCACGTAAATACACTATGAAGCATATGAAAGTGCTTAGCAAATGGTAACTAATAATATACAACATCAAGCTATTGTTATGCTATATGTATTTCTTAAACAGTTGAAAAATTGAGGGGTTTGTTTTATGAGAGCAAGTAGGTAAATTAAAAAAGTAGTAACAACAACCCTCGATAGTGCCTGGGCTGGATATTCTCCATCTGTGCTCCAAGCTCCTCTCTCCTCTAAATGGCTCTGTGTACCAAGTGGCTAACCAGGATTGTCAGCATTCTCTGGGCCCCCTTGTTCACTGGCTTTCTGTTTTATTAGCCAGTGGAAGCTTCTGGACAAAGAACTGGGGATGCAAGTGTGAAATTTTCTTCCCGACCTTCCTCCCACAGCACTGTGGGTTGGCAGTGACTGTGCCCCTCTAAGGAAGGCATAGCTCCTGTTGGAGGCCTCTCTTCTTTCAATGACAGCCCTTTGCACTGTCTGTTAGCTGCTCCTTCCCTTTGCCCCTTTAAGCCTGGAGTGTTAACAGAATTTTTGCTAACTTCAGGGTACTGGACCATCCCTTGGTGGTTTCCCTTAACCCCTGTCTTCACCCGGATGGTGGTGCCATCTCCTTCCTGCTGTGACCTTGATTGTACAAAGGCACTTTATATTTTTTCCTGCCATTGTAAACTCAATTCAACAAACATCTTTTTAGGACTTCGAGTGTGCAAGGGAGAGAATGTCTATCGCATACTTTTAAAGAATTAGACATTTTAGTCACATATCTAGAGGTCATTATATTAGTTTCTTTAGAAAGCAAGTTTTGGTAAATATTTTACATGCACTCTAAAGAATACAGTATTGTATTTATACACATTATGAATTATTCTTATAATTCATTTTTATTTTATCGAAGCAATGTATCTATGTTGTTTAAATATAACATCATTAAAAAGCAATTATTGAAGCATTGCAATATCTGTCCCCCTTTTTTTACCTTTCTCCAAATTATTTACCTGGAATTGGCACTTTTCAACCTGATACTTCTGGTATTTACCTCTCTGTCTGTAGGTAATGCACTTACATTATTTTTCCTAATATATCAATTTTAGCAACAGCTCTCCACACTCCCCACTTCTACCACTTCTGGTCCCCACAGCCAACTAACAACAATTTTTGTTTACATCAATAAGTACTAGTTATATTATCATGATTATTTTTGGTTTTTTCCTCATTGCTGAGCCAAGTGGTAGTCTGGTTGGTTGTATTCTCCTTAACATACAAATTTTTGTCTTTCTTGGGATTAATATATGCTTTATAAACATTTTGCCTGCATGCCTAGGCATTATTCCTTATGAGATAGGTAGTAATAGCATCTCAATTTTATACATGGTCATATTGGTATTTGCATTTTGTAGTTGTGGAAATGGAGGCTTAAGGCTAAGTGTTTTGTGACAGGGTCACACTGCTAGTTAAGTGTCAGATTAGGGAGAACATAGCAGCCGGTCTATCTGCAGAGCCTCCATTCTTCATCATGACATTATTCACAAATCCTGTCACCTCAGTTGTTCACCTACTGGCCACATTAATGAGAAATTCCTGGGTTCTGTCTTTGGAGATTCAAAATCAGTTAAGTCTGAATAGGAACCAAGAATCCACATGTAAAATATCTCCACAGGTGATGCCATTGAT